GAAGATAATTATGGAAAAAATAAGAGTTAAGTTTTTTATTGTTACTTAATTAAAATAAAACAAGCTGGAGAAGAAAACTTGACAAAATGCTTTATTATATTTCAATTTTTATAATTGCAGTTATACTCAAAACACGACTGTGGTCATTTTAAAGAATGTTTACACTTTTTTGGACTTGAACCATTTTATCTCTGAAAATATTTGAAATTTTAAATATAAATTGGTTCATCGATACATTCTTCTTCATCATTAAGGGATTTGTTGACTTCACATTGTCTATTAATAGTGTTTTCTTCGATTTTTATAAAAATTATGGTATATGGCCATAAATAATCCATAAATAAGGCCTTTTAGAGTGTGTTACGTTGTGATATAGATGTCTACATAAACTAATAAGATTTTTCTTTCTCGTGCAGTTTTATTCAGATCAACAACATGTCAGATATCTAAGTCTTTGTAAGAAAAATAGCCTAACCTATTGATGTAGTAATAGTGAAAATAATGATAAATCAAACTATACTTTCAGAATCGATAGAATCAGACTTTTAAGATGGCTGATAATCTGATTCACTTGGTGCAAATGGTTCAGACTTTGTCTCATTATCATCCATTTTATCAAAAATATATTTTTTTTTAGTATTAAACTTTAGCACGTGTGTTAAAATCGCTCATAGCACTATATTTTATGGACTTGATCCATTTCACTTCCAAAAGGAATCAACAGAATATTCAGAAACCAAACAGAAACAGGCTACAGCTGCTTAATGCGTGAAGCATGACGATTCATTTCTTTACTGGAAAAAACAATATTTTATAAATGTATAAAGACGATTATCTTAAAATAGTAGAAAATTGGACTTGATCCACTTTAATTCTGACCACTCCATTTAATAAGGTATGGATACGAGTTTCTTCGTTGCTGACAGTATCTTTTCCATCACAAATATTCATCTGCTCTCGAAAATTCGAAACGTTTTCACATAATATGCTTTCAACCTCAAAAGTTTTTAAACATGGGCGATAAATTTTACATACAGTGTATCTGTTTGCGTTTTTCTCGGACGTCCAAATGGAAAAGTTATTATGCAAAATGGGAAAAGTTTCCCTGAAAAATATCCATTTCGCCAAATGCATGTTGTTTCTATTTTCGTAGCGTCGCGTCTTTCCAAATATACGACTATCGGGTTTTCATTTTGAAATAGTGCTAAAAGTTTCATAGAAAATCACGTAGTATAGACTTAATTATGTTATAGTTAATTATGTTTCAAGGGAATTATAAGGGTGTTAATTATCGGGGGCAAAGTTTCTGTCAATGGACAATAGGTTGACAATAATTGCCCGAGGTTATTTAACACTTCTTTATAATTCCCGTGGTACATAGACAATTTTATTTCTTACTGAATTTACTACGTTTTGTCCCATTTTAAAACGACATAAATGTTTTACACACATTTATTTGAGGAGTTAGGTAAATAATGCGGTTCGCGGACGATACCGTCCTTATAGCAGACAACGCGGAGGGTCTGCAAACACTTCTACAAAGGCTAAACAACACGTGTAGAGTCTATGGCCTGAAAATGAACCTTAAGGAAACTGAATTTATGATAATCACTAAGAGAGAAGATGTCCAAGCCAATGTTCTAATAGATGATACACCTATGGAGAGAGTACAAGGTATAAATATCTAGGCAGTTGGTTGACCGAAAACTTCATCGGATCAATCAGCAGAAAAAATAAAAGATCGAATAGAAATAGCCAGAGCATCCTTTGTAAAACTCCAAAAAAGTCTCTGTAGTGGAGACATCAACTTAAAGCTTAGATTAAGAATGCTAAGGGGTTACATATTTGCAACTCTACTCTAGGGTTCAGAGGCTAGGACACTTAAAAAGGCCGAAATGGAGAAGCTTGAGGCATTCGAAAGATGGTGTTATCGGCGTATGCTTAGGATTGCATGGACTGACAAGGTTACAAATGTAGAACTGCGACGCAGAATTCAGAAGGACGAAGAGGTGATTAACACCCTTAAAAAGAGAAAACTTGAGTACTTTGGACACATAAGAGGACCTAAATATGCCCTGCTGCAGAACATAATAGAAGGAACGATAAAGGGCAGAAGGAGCCAAGGAAGAAGAACATCATGGCTCAAGAATTTGAGAGAATGGTTTGGAATAACTTCAAACCAGTTATTCAGAGCAGCCGTTAACAAAGTTAGAATTGCCATGATGATTTCCAACCTCCATTAGGAGATGGAACCCGAAGAAGAACGTAAGAATTAACGCTGCTGGTAGGAACTTTGATTGTTGCCAGGTTATTATTATACTAAATGACCTGCTTATAAATTGACGGTTGTTGTCAATCGAGTTTAGTATTTTGTTAAAAAAAAATGCCTTTCGTACGAATTCGGCACACGTTCGAGTACGTTTCCATTAAAATGGAGGGAGTATTAAAAAAAAGCTGAAGAAGCATGACAACAAGCGTTAATTCCACCTAAAAGTGAATCCATTTACCAAAAGGAATATAAAAAATTCGGTATTAATAAGTATTAATAACAATAATAACGTATTAATTCAGTAAGAAAAAAATGCTAGTTTTGGATGATTCTGTTCGTTTTAACAACTACTATTACTACTTACTACTAACAGTTTACCTTTGAATAAAAATATAAGACAACAACTGTTAATGATGTAGCATTCAATAAAAAGACTAAAGAATGTATTTTCATGGCAAATTTAAATTTTTGCGGTTATAATTGGTTTTGTGCACAGTGTATAAATCGGGAAAGACATGGTGTTAAGATTTGAATCTCAGTGAGATTATTTGGAATCTTAGAAAGAGGCTTCAAAAAATGGATGCCCGTGCACTACTGTGTAGTGCATAGTAGACTAACAACATGAAAAATCGACTGAATAATAACAAAACAGCTATTCACTAGTAGGTACCTAATTAAAGTTACGAGTAGTAAATCATTCTGTTAAGAAATTTGCTGAAAGCCTCATTCAGAATCTAATAAATTAGTGGTTTTAAAATTATACTTTATAATTATAAGTTTACGATCATTCACAATGTCTAAAAAAATACAATTAACATTCATAGAATATCCTAGCAACAGCTTGCAGTAGTCAGTTTTATCCATAGAGAAAACCTAATAATTATCTTATAAATCAATAAACTTATTTTGATTTCTAACTTCATTTATTTCCCTTGATGGATGATAATGATAATTAAATGCCAAAATGTATTAGTCGCAAATTTTGAAGTATGTATAATTATAATCGCCACGGCAAAACTTAAAAGTTTCTTAACTTTTTCTACTAATTGAAAATTACTACCACTAATTTTGACGTTCTGAATGATAATATTGAAAATGAAGGAACAAACTTCTACTCTAATCGATACTACAAGAATACTACTAATATAGGAATTCCACTTATTTCGAGGCTCTGAATGAAGTTAAAGTTTACTAATTATCTTTTGATTCTCACATTCATTACTAATTACTAATAATAAAAAAAAAATTACTTAGTTGTTCCAGTAGCGTATCTTAATTTTAGTTCAGGTAAATAGGTACCTAATTACAATAACGCAATAACTTATTTACTTTTGTTAGAAACTCGGTTAAAAACTTAATTTCCTAACCATTTTTTTATTTATTACTAACCGAGTTACTAACCCTTATTAATTACTTCTTTATCGACTTAAATTTTTTATTAATTTAGTAAATATATTTTATACAATATAACTATCATAAACTCACATATTATGCATAATCTATTACGTCTAATATCAATATAATGTATACCTACATCGAATATTCTAGCTATTATACTTGCTAACATGCTATCGAACAAATTCAGGTAAACAATGTTTATGCCTCGGTTTATGTACTTATATTAGTATACCTATTTTGTTATACAAATAGGTGCTTAGATATATGAATAGATGTTATGAAATAAACTCAATAAACTTCACTGAATTAAAAGAGAAATAGATATAAGCAAAATTTTCGGTATAAAATTCTTTTTATTGATTTTTGTAAACGACTGATGAATCAGCGAAATGTAAAATACATAATTTCCATGTGGGGGAATAGGTCACATACTATATAATATATAACAATATTACTAATATTTTTTCCTATTTTTGCTAATTTTCCTAATATTACAGAAAAAAATTACAAAACAAAAAGTTTTTGTGAAATAAGTACTTAGGTAAATAAAAATATTTAGTACTCAATTTAGTCTAAACTGCATTTACAGTAACCATCTTAGATATTCCCTTATTTTCTCTCTTTAAAGAGAGATTACTATTAATAGTATTAAATCTTATAAGTATAAGTTTATATTAAATATGATTTTCTTATGAATTCTTTATGAATTTATCCAAAATTCATAATTTGCTATTAAGTATTATTTATCAAAATGGTGAGAGCGTCGATGTATTCGTTATTTTTTATCAAAATGGTGAATGCGTTGGGGTATTCATTTTGCCCGTTCCAGTTTTCCAAAATAAATTCAAAAAATAAAATACCTACATGTAGGTGCTCTCTAAAGAAGAAAAACTAATAATTCTATAAAATTATTTAATTTTTTTATTTTTGATCTCAGTAAAATCATATTCCTAGTTTAGTTAAAAATTCCGAGAAAATATATGTATTTCTATGGAAAATATTCAGTTTGCTGTGCCAAGTTTTTCCCTCATTTCCAACTGCCAGACCGAAGATTTAGAGCCAGGTGAAATGCAAATAAATTTACATAATGGCGCACTTTAGCGTAATTCATTGTCTATGGACTAATAAAATTTAATTTAGGGTCTTCCATGAACGCGGTTCTAACAAAAGATACCAGTAAATTGTTTGTAAAGCGCTTTTTCGTCGTGATCTTTTAATACCGCCGTGATTTAGTAGAGAAATTTTAAACTTTTATGCAAGTTAACACTTCGTAAATATAAATAAAACCAACAGTAAAAAAGTAAAGTTTAGATATAATAAAGTTGGTACATACCTGATCTCCCATGTCGTATCCGTTAGCTTGAAAATTCGATTGTGGTATACTCAGAGAGAGATCAACGCTTTCCGTTCTCTGAAAAGACACAAAAAGTGAAAATTATTATCACTGTTTTTCCAATGGGTAAAAGCACATTAAACACATTTATAACACTTAAATCTAACATAGGTAAGGTTTATTTAAAAAACAAACCTCATACATTTTTTCACTTTGGCGAAGGCGCTAGGCTAAGAAAATTTCTCCGCAAAGTTTTAAATATCTCGCAACTCCCGTCAAAACAAAACAATTTTACCGGCGAACTGACGAACAAACCGAAAAAATCGTTCGGAAAAACGTCTGAATGTAAAACTAAATTTAATTTAGTATTAAAAACCTTTTTATAAAAGAGCCGAAAAATTATATTAAGCGACAGCGTTTCAGACTAGGTTAGAATACATCGCGCTCGCAGACTAACGCGAGTCTGTGCATCGTGAATATATTCCTCATCGTCGGCTCGCGGCGGCGTTGCCAAGTCGCGGAAATATAAATCCTAAATTACGGTTAAACTTCCACATAGACCTATAATATTTTATGGCTCATTTTTGCACTTAACTATGCTCACATAAACTGTGCTTTTGGGAAATAGCGATTGAATGTGGTAATGTTACAATAGTCATAGCCAATTTTAGGATTCTACAATATTAGAGTAGGTCTAACTAGTCCCTACAACATATGTATCAATTCTGCAAGGCAATAAGCTGTTAAATCCTACGATATATGATTAGTAAAGATATAAAATACACGGAAAGAACCAGATAACCACCAGCCGTCCAAGGCTCTCCTGTAAAATTAGTAAAATGGTGCTTATCATGTTTTTCCCCTGGACTCTTCATAATATATGTTCTACACTGCATTAACATACACAAAAATGCCTACTTATTACAATTGTTTAATACTTTAAAATAAAAAAATGGTCTAAACGAATTTAACTAGAGAGTAATGAATTTTATTTTTTATTATAATTTTACTAGTGTAATTTATTCTTCGTAAAACTGTCTCAAACTGTTTTAAAACAGTGTCAAAATTGACGTCATAATTTTTATATTAATAATAATATAGTAATTTATGTAAAAAATTTGTGTGAAAAACGGACATCATAAGGAAACTGCAGGTCGCACAACGTTCAATGGAACGAAATATAGTGGGAATAACCAAGACAGACCGTAAAAGAATAGAGTGGATACGACAAAAGACCCAGGTACCTAATATAGATGTCATCCACAGAGTCAAATCCCTATTATATATGGGAGGCTACACCATAATTGGAAATGGTTGAATAAGCTGAAAATGATGATGAATGATGATGATGATGATGATGTAAAAAATTAAGAAAGTACCAACCAAGTAGCTTTTTGCAGGTCCAGCAGCCTAGAAGATTGTAAGATTGACAAGATCTGGGTCCTATAATGTTTTTTATATAACGTATCATATTTTTTTAGACCAACACTCTTGCATAGATCACTAGCAATTACATCAAATATCAACTTAAGTTCGCTGTTTTCTCAGCGAGAAATAAAACAATTAATGTCATCAACTTTTAACTTTCAAAAAATATTTTCTTAATTATCACTAGAGAATAAAAAGGCTGTCCAGTGTGTGTAGCATAAAGTGGTTGTTGTGAATCATTCACAAGATTCTGATTTACACTTTGACAGTTACAGCATTGTTAATCTCTTAATTAGATATTCAAATTTTAAATTAATCTAATTAATGACGATAAGATAATATTTAATGCATATCAGTCAAACATTATAACATGAACATTTATTAAAAACTGTATTTTCTATAAAATATGAACTTGTTGAGTTGTGAACAATAACAGCAAAATTCTCATCTCAGCCTCTCATTTTTGAATTTTATATTAAAAACAAAACTAGTAACACTACTAACTACTACTAATATCGAATAGAAATAATTGCCTGGAAAAAAACAAGCATTTGGAAAATTGCTATTAAAATACTATAAGTGTTATGAACATCAGGATTAGATACCCAGTAAAGTTCGATCTTAAATGATATTTCTTGGCCTACTATCATTGTCAAAAAGAATATTTATATAAAATCATGAAAGCACATTTCGTTTAATATATAGAATTTATTATCAGCTTTTTAAGTGTTATGTTCTGCTTTTATTTATATAAATAATAGTTCATTGTTTAAGTGCATTTTAATATTGCCGTAATTTACAAAATATTGTTCTTTCCGATTAGAATTCAATGAAAACATTCACAAAAGCGTAAAACAAAATAAAAATTTATAATGGATTTTATAACGATTTTAATAATTACATTTTATATTACCTTAAAAAATAATTATTTATGATTACAGATAATCTTTTTATTATATATGTATATATTAAAAATTGACGATTCCATCTAGACATACTAAAAATTACACGTTTTTAATAAATTAATTAATATTAAACATTTCTAAGCCGGAGAAATATAAATTTAGCCTTCAGTTAAAATCCAAAGTAAACAGTAATGTTGTTTTCGTAAAGGATTAAATAATACTAAAAAGGAATTTTCGTTAAGCGGCTTACACAGGAATATTGACTGACTGGATAAGACGCAAGACGCGGCACCGTCGCGGCCAGTTGTTAGAGAGCTCGTAACGTTGCCATATTTTTCCCCCAATATTCTTTACTCCTTATAATAGTCCTGTTTTAAGATTAAATCGACGAGTTTGTTTTGTAAAACGGCAACAGTGTTGTATTCTGAAATGAGAAATTTTGATGGAGGTCGGTTAATTGAAGTAGATTTAAAGAGAAGCGGATAATGGGATGGATACTACTTTGTAGGGATGTATTAAGGAACTTTGAGTGACTTTAGCTTTATTTTAGAATATTAGATGAATATTTAACAGATGATGTAAATAGAGAACTGTTAGACAAAAATAATAAATATCTGAAATTAATAATTTGTTATTTCTAATTTATATTATATTAATTGCAATAATAAATTACAGTAATTATAAATGTAACACTATGGTACAGAGGATAAAAAGTAAACTGTCTTATCTCCATATTGCTGATTGCTGCCAGAGCTAATTTGAATTGGACCTATACCGGGTGCGTCTGAAAAGTGGCTCACCCCTATAACTTTTTTATTTTTTTAGTTAAAAAAAACGAGATTTGATATGTTAGTATATGACATAAATTAGGATTGATTGACGTATTCAATTATTTTCGGGCACTTCCGGTTTCACCGGAAATGGCTACAACTTTTGATTTTTAAATGGCACTCCCGGTATTGTTTACTTTATTCGATGGAAAATGACACTCTGAATAGAATGACATATCATATGTCAATTGTTGACATTTTCGCATATCGTTTATTTGAAATTATAACTTGCGGTTCGTAACGAAAATTTGACTCGAAATACCAAGCGTGTGGTATCAGATTATTCGTAAAAAATGCTTTTTCCAAATATGCTAATGAGCCACCCTCGTTCCATTTGAAAAAATTGAGATATGATTAAAAATAATATTTAAGCATTTTCTAACTGGCCAGGACAAGACACTAAAAACATTAAACGATCAAATATATTTTTCCAAGGCTCCTTGATGAAGAATTACTGTTTTTACCATAGCTATGGCACTCTAGATTGAATTTTAAAATACAATTTTTTTAAGCGAGAATGTCAAAAGTTGACATATGATATGCTGAATAGAATATTCAGAATGTCATTTTTTATCGAATAAAGGAAAAAAAAATACCGAGGATACCATTTAAAAATCAAAAGTTGTAGTCATTTCCGGTGAAATTGGAAGTGACCAAAAACAATTGAATACGCCAATTAGTCCTAATTTATGTCATATACTAACATACCAAATCTAGTTTTTTTATCTGAAAAAATCAAAAAGTTATAGGGGTGTGCCACTTTTAAGACGCACCCGGTATATATAATATAACGCGGATTCTGAACCGCGGTCTTCATCTTATACATAATATTATAAATAATGGCCTACTCTTAGCGAATGTCAAAATAAACTGATACAAGCATTATACTATCTGATCTCATCGGACCTCTGACAGGAGTGTGCGTCTTAACTGAAAAAAAAAACGGCGTCAAAGATGGCTGGGAAATAACAATCAAAGGTAATTTTTGCGAGGTCAAGCCCTAGACATATCCGTCATTTACTTGGCCTGTTAAGTTTTATGTAAATTTTTAATAAATGATTTGTAAAGATTGACCCCGCCAAAATTATAATCGATTGTCAATTGTCATTCCACAGCCGTCTTTGATGACGTTTTTTGTTCGATAATACGGTATTTTTCACGCTTGTCTGGAACATCCACGATAGAATTTTTATGAAGATCACCCTTTTACATATAGTTCACCTCAAATAAATAAACTTTTAGACACGTGATTAAGCTTGACCGGCACAGCGTTGCCCACTTTTACAATATTTTCTTTTAATCAAAATATTTTAGGAAATAAAAATATAAGTAAAGTTGTTATTTACATCAACAACTCATCTGCTTAACAGCACTTAAGGGACATAAAGGGCCGTTACTACCGCTTTGCCATCCAAAATATTCTAATAAAGTTGCGATGAGTTTTTTACGGCTATTAAGCTATCTTGTACACTTCGCATTAGAAGAAGTTCTAAAAAGAACAATGTTCGACTCCAAGGTCTGCTAGTAAACATTTTTCAGCTTAAAGTATTACAACACTATTTATTTCAACCAAAAACTCGTAATACAAAATTAAAGTGTCAAAATGAATAACAATGTCAGTAAATAAATAAATAAATCTGGCAACTTGATATTTTTTACAGCAGAGCTGCCACCTGAATCCCCAGCGGGAAATTTAAATTTAAAAAAATGTTTTTTTTTTAATTATTTTTAATACCTTGTCTTTAATATCTTTATATTATCGTCAAAGGGAACACCTTATCGAAAATTATTGAGAAATAATGTACGCCACTGACTTTTTTATTTTTATATTTTTTTAGATTAGGCAACTAAAAATAAAACTTTTTTTTTCTTGCTTCATATTATGCCTATCTAGAACTGTTTTGCGAAAAAAAAA